GAGGAGGCTGTGGGTCTGGGGAGAAAAGAGATGAGAAGCGGCTATGTGAGGGGAGGAGGGCTGGGGTCACTCATAAGAAAGGGACATGGGCTATGACCTGGCTGGGGTTGACCTTTCCACTGCCAGAGGGGGGCCTTCCCCACTATGAAGACCTGCCTTTTGTCTTCCAGCACTGACTTCCTTATATAATGGAATATATTCACCTTTCATCATCATCATCATCTGGATTTATAATTCCTCTTCAGGCATGAAAGAGTTAATTAACCCCTTTGTGACCGGTCATTTGCACCAGATGCAGTCATGCACATTTTTAAATACAGCATAAATGTAATGCGAGAAAAATGTATTGCAGTGCTGCAAATGCGCATGAATGCGTGCAAACCTGCATTGAAGTTTTATTTTTTTGGGGGGGGGGGTGCAAGTAGCTGGTCTTGCCTAAAGCACAAAATATTCTCACACCGACCCTGATTGTACATTTACATCAGTCCCTAACCCTCATGTTTCTAACATTCAGCAACTCAATCCTATGTCTAATAAAGGTTTCCGGACATGCACAGCAACCACTAGATGTTGGGGTATTCTACATGCCAACAACAATCCAGAAAGACTGGCAGGTCCACTTACTACCCAGTAAAAGCAAAACATGAATCAACTAAACCATGTCTTAGTGTTGGACCCATAGGGAAGTAAACCATGCCAACATAACCATCAGCTTCATCTGGAAGTAAATTGAGGCATCTAATTAGACACGGCTAAATGATCTTGCTGAGCATATTTTTGATGTCATCTGTTGCTCGTGTTATATTGTGATGAATTATGTTTTGAATTACGCTATGCAGTAGAAATACTATTTTACATTTTAATTTTGGTATCACACTGTTACTACTGGATTGGATATAGCAAATTTGGATTTTTTTTTTCTCCAAACCGTGCTTTTATAAGGCTTTGCTCTGTTTGAACTGATGTTAGACATAATGTACACAAAAACGATGAAGTAATAATGGAATAATGAAACATTTGCCCTATCATCAACTCCATGAAATGTACCCCATGATTCACTCAGCTGGGTGAGTATTGGCCTTACCTGCTGCAATATTGTACTTGTAAACAAAGGTCATAAGAAACTTACCATCTCAGTAGGGCCGCGTTCACAGGGGCATATTACAGCGTACACCAGCATGAGAGCCATGTCTACCCACACAGGGATGTACAGTTGTTCCATGCCTCCCCATGCAGGCAGTCTCATTCATGTCCATTGGGATGCTGTGAGTGCACTGACTCAGCCGCTACTCACATGGTGGACAAACATGGCCCTCGCATGGGTGTATGCTGTAGTACGCCCATGTGAATGAGGCTTAATACAGAAAGACAGCAGCACCCTCCAAGAAAACAACTGCACTACACGTTCATCCAGCTTGCTCAAATAAGGGGGACCTGCTTTTAAGACTGCTAGGGATTATGGGACAAGGTTCCTCACCCACTAAGATGCTGGTGAACTAGTAAGGAGGTGGTATACTTCTCTATTGGAGCAACAATGGCATAAAACCCTTTGAATGCAAACTGTTTGTTGATTTAATAATTGTTTCCTGAAGACAGTTCCATTTACCAAGACGATAATCAGTGGCGTCAGTAGGGTTGGTGTCACCAGGTGTGGTAAAACATGGTGTCACCCCCCACAATAAGTGTGAGAAAGATCGTGAGGGGGGGGTGATAGAGAGGGGGTTGAGAGAGAAAGAGGGGATAAGAGAGAGGGGGGAGAGAGAAGGGGAATGAGAGAGAAAAGGGGGGTGAGAGGTGAAAGAAATGGTGGGTTGAGAGAGAAAGAAGGATGTGAGAGAGGGGGTAAGAGAAAGAAAGGGGGGTAAGAGAGAGAGGTGGTGGGGGGGGATGAGAGAGAGAGGGGGGTGAGAGAAAGAGGGGAGAGAAAGACAGGGGGTGAGAGGTGGGGTGAGAGAGGGGGTTAGAGAGAGAGAGGGATGGTTGGGGGTGGGAGAGAGAGGGGGATAAGAGAGAGGGAATAAGAGAAGAGAGAGAGAGAGAGGGGGTAAGAGAGAGGTGATGGGAGAGGGAGAGGGAATGAGAGAGGGGGGTAAGAGAGAGGGGGGCTGAGAGAGACAGGGTGAGAGAAAAAGGGTGGAGAGAGGGAGGAGGTATAAGAGAGGGGGAATGTGAGAGAGAGGGGGGGTGAGGGGTGGTGAGAGAGAGGGGCGGTAAGGAAAAAAGTGGTGGGGGGATGGGAGAAAGAGAGGGTGAGAGAGAGGGAAAAGGAGGGAGGGGGTAAGAGAGAGAGAGAGGGAGGTGACATAGGGGGCTAAGAGAGAGGGGGGTGAGAGAGAGCAGGTGGGGGGGTGAGAAAGAGGGAGTGGGAGAGAGGGGAGGGGAGAGATGAGGGTAAGAGACAGATAGGGTAAGAGAGGGAGAGAGGGAATGAGAGAGAGAGAGGGAATGGGGGGGGGGGGGGGGGGGGGGGGGGTAAAAGAGAGAGAGAGACGTCTTTCATGATCTGTGATCATTCTCTATAAATGCATACTGCCCAGCCTGAACATTCTACTTTTACTTTTATCCTTGCCACTCCTTTGCCTTCCTCCTTTCAGATTTTCTTTCTTCACCTTATTTCTGTCCACCATCATTTTCTTCACTGGCCACTATAGGGAGGAACCAAAGGGATGTTTGTGACAGACGGGAAGAGATGATGTGGGTGCAGGAGATAGCAGCAAGACAATACCTGGATGCCAAGCGCTAGCAATGCTACTGGTGCCCTGCCCCCTCCACATTATGCTGTGTCTTGGTCCTGGGAGAAGGAGTATGACGGCTCCACATTATGCTGTGTCTTGGTCCTGGGGGAGAAGGAGTATGACGGCTGGGCGCGGCAGCCATGGTAGAGATGGATGGGTTTTATGGGGGGCGCAACAAAGATCTGCAACCTGCCCTAGATCTGGCAATGAGTGTCTCATTGGGCCCCCTACTGGCCACGATGCTATGGGGGTGCGGGGGGTGCAAACTGCCCCTGGTGTCACCCCTCTGGCGGTTGACACCCGGGTGCAGTCTGCACCCCCCGCACCTCATAATACTGTGATTATTGCTCAGCTGGTGTTGTCAAATTGTGGTTTGACAAGCCTACAGATAAAGTCTTGCACCCTCCCTGGGTACCGCAGTCGGTAAATAACAGAAAAGTGTTGGGGGGGGGGGAAAGAAAGAGGGGGGGGGTGAGAGAGGAAATAAGAGGGAGGGGGTAAGAGAGAGAGAGGGAAGTGAGATAGGGGGGTGAGAGAGCAGGTGGGGGATGGAAAAGAGGGAGCGGGGAAGAGGGGGGGAGAGAAGGATGGTAAGAGAGAGAGAGGTGGGGTGAGAGAGAAGTAGGGTAAGAGACCGAGAGAGGGATAAGATAAAGGTGGAGGGGGGTGAGAGAGAGGGTATGAGAGAGGGGGGTAAAAGAGAGAGAGACTTGTCTTCCTCCTTTCAGATTTTCTTTCTTCACCTTATTTCTGTCCACCATCATTTTCTTCACTGGCTACTATAGGAAAGAACCAAGGGGATGTTTGTGACAGACGAGAAGAGACGATGTGGGTGCAGGAGATAGCAGCGAGACAATACCTGGAGGCCGGGCACTAGCAATGCTACTGGTGCCCCGCCTCCTCCATATTATGCTGTGTCTTGGTCCTGGGAGAAGGAGTATGACGGCTGGGCATGGCAACCATGGTGGAGGCGAAAGGGGGGTGGATGGCTTATGGGGCCCCCTACTGGCCACAATGCTATGGGGGTGCGGGGGTGCAGACTGCCCCTGGTGTCACCCCTCTGGTGGTTAACACCCATGTGCGGGTTGCACCCCCTGCACCCCATAATACTGTGATTATTGCTGTAATTCACACAGCTGGTGTTGTCAAATCATGGTTTGGTGAGCCTACAGATAGTCTTGCACCCTCCCTGGGCACCGCAGTTGCCAGACCTCAATATCATGGAGTCACTATCGTCAATTTTGGAGAACAAGGTTCGGGCTCGTTTTCTGTCTCCGGCATCTCTGCAAGAACTGGAACGATTTTTTGAGTAGTATAAAATTCAATTATTCACTATCCAAAACTTATATTTGTCAATTTCCAAGAGGATTCAGGCCATCTTAGATGCCAAAGGCGGTGCAACACCATATTGGGCAACGATTTTGTGCTTTTACCTGGTGTTTCCATCATTTTGTCCAACCGCTATGTATATAATACACCACTTCGCCCAGAAAATTGTTGCTATTACAAATGTTTAGGTATGCATGTTTATTTCTTTTGTTTGTATTGGTATGATACAAAAAAGTACAGAAACAAATAGCCAAATCTGACACATTCCATGTAAACCCCCCAAAAATGGACTGGACAAAATTATTGGCACCCTCAATTTAATATTTCGTAGCACACCCCTGGGCAAAATAACTGAAATCAAACGTTTTCTGTAACCATCAATGAGTTTCTTACACCTCTACTGGAATTTTGGACCCCTCTTCTTTCACCAACTACTCCAGGTCTCTCAGATTGAAAGGGTTCCTTTTCCCAACTGCTGTTTTTAGACCTCTCCACAGGTGCTCTAAGGGATTGAGATCTGGACTCATTGCTGGCCAGTTCGGAACCCTCCAGTGCTTGAAACCATTTTTGGGTGCTTTTTGACGTGTGCTTTGTGTCATTGTCCTGCTGTAAGACCCATGACCTCTGATGGAGACCCAACTTTCTGACATTGAGCCCTACATTGCACCCCAGAAGTCTTTTAGTAGTCTTCAGATTTCATAATGCCATGCACATGGTCAAGACATCTGGTGCCTGAAGCAGCAAAGCAACCCCAAAACATCAGTGAACCTCCACCATGTTTGACTGTAGGAACTGTATTCTTTTCTTTAACCACCTTCCGCCTGCCCTATAGTACAATGACGGGCGCAAGGTGGTTCTCTCGTTCTGATAGGACGTCATATGACGTCCTACCATTCTCACTGCGCATGCGCGGCTCAGGGAGCGCACAGCGCGGCGATCGCCGGTCCGCTATGTCCCTCGGACACAGCGGATCATGGAAAGAGCCGAAGATGTCGGCTCGGTCATGTGATCAGCTGTGTCCAATCACAGCTGATCACATGTAAACACAGAAATGCCAGTTATCGGCATTTCTCTCCTCTCGAGCTGTCATGCTGACAGCTCGAGAGGAGAGGAGAGGAGAGCCGGTAATCGGCTTTCCGCGGAGGGGACATGTACACTGATCATCAGGGCACTGATGATCAGTGTGCCCTGATGATCAGTGTGGCCCCAGAAGTGCCACCTGTCAGTGCGCATCAGTGCCAGTGCCCATCAGTGCCACGTGCCAGTGCCCATCAGTGCCACATCAATGCCACATATCAGTGCATACCAGTGCACATCAATGCCACATATCAGTGCCATCTGAGCTGCCTTTCAATGTCACCCATCAGTGTCAGTCAGTGCCACCTATCAATGCCAATCAGTGCCACCTGTCAGTGCTGCCAATCAGTGCCGCCTATCAATGCCAGTCAGTGCCGCCTATCAGTGCCAGTCAGTGCCGCCTATCAGTGCCAGTTAGTGCCGCCTAACAGTGCCAGTCAGTGTCGCCTATCAGTGCCGCCTATCAGTGCCATATATAGTGTCATGTATCAGTGCTGCCTTTCAGTGCCCATCAGTGATGCCTGTCAATGCCCATCAGTGCAACCTACCCGTGCCTCCTCATCAGTGCCCAATAGTGCCACCTATCAGTGTCCATCAGTGCAGCCTATCAGTGCCCATCACTGCAGCCTCATTAGCGCACATCAGTGAAGGAGAAAAATCACTTATTTACAAAATTGTATAACGAAAACTAAGAAAAAACTTTTTTTTTCAAAATTTTCAGTGGTTTTTGGTTTGTTTAAGAAAAAATAAAAATCCCAAAGGTGATTAAATACCACCAAAAGAAAGCTCTATCTGTCTCAAAAAAAATGATAAAAATTTCATATGGGTACAATGTTGCATGACCGCGCAATTGTCATTCAAATTGTGACAGCGCTGAAAGCTGGAAATTGGCCTGGGCAGGAAGGGGGTATAAGTGCCCTGTAGGCTAGTGGTTAAAGGCCTCATTTCTTTTTCTGAAAATAGCAGAATGATGGGCTTTACCAAAAAGCTGTTTCGTCTATTCACAGCACATTCTCCCAAAAAGCTTTGGCAAACTCTAATCTGGCTTTTTTATATTTCTGTGTCAGCAGTGGGGTCCTCCTGGGTCTCCTACCATAGGGTCTCTTTTCATTCAGATTGCGACGTATAGTGCCAGGTGACACAGTTGTACCCTGAGCCTGAAGGTCAGCTTGAATTTGTCTAGAAGTTGATCGAGGTTTTTTATCCACCATTCGAACAATCCTTAGTTGCAATCTTTGATCAATTTTTCTCTTTCATCCATGTACAGAGAGATTAGCTGCAATGCCATAGGCTGTATGCTTCTTGACAATGTTGCCCACAGTGGACACAAGAACATTAAGCTCTCTGGAGATGGACTTGTAACCTTGAGATTGTCCATGCTTTTCTATAATTTTTATTCTCAGACAATTCTTTTCTGCGCTTTTTCTTCTCCATGCTCCATGTGTACACAGAGACACACAACAGAAAGGTTGAGTTAATTTCTCACCATTTTAACTGGTTGTCGGTGTGATTTCTCTATTGTCAGCACCTGTTAATTGATACAGGTGAGTTTAATTACAAATTACAAGATTGTTTCTTACAATTTTGAGAAGGTGCTGGAATTTTTTTCCAGTCCGTTTTTTGGGTTTGCATGGCATGTGCCAGTTTTGGCTTTTTGTTTCTCCATTTTTTTGTGTTATACCAATAGAAACAAAAGAAATAAACATGACAATGCCTAATCATTTGTAATTGCAACAATTTTCAGGGTGAAATGCATTATCTCACAGAAATGCAGGGGTTCTAATATTTTTGGCAATGACTGTACAGGTATATATACATTGAAAATATACATTTGTTTTGATCTCTCACATAGTGGAAGTGTGCTTTATGTTACACTTTTCTCGATGGTGTGATGCCGTCGTAGGTGGGTATCATATCTATCATGTATAGTTACTCATCTAAAATATGTTGATATTAATGTGTTAATATAAGATATCAGTAGTAAACTATTACTGACAAAGAACCACTACTAAAATGTGGCCATGGTGTCCAGTTTAATATTATTAAAGAGGAGTTCCAGCCCCCCCTCCCAAAAATTTTAAGTCAGCAGCTACAAATACTGTAGCTGCTGCTTTTAATATTTGGGCAATTACGTGTCCAGGGATTCAGCGGTGTCCTCACCCTGAGCTGATTCTTCAATTGGCTGTCGGGCACTGGCTCCGCCACCTTGCCAAAGGGAAACCGGCAATGAAACCTTGCGGCTTCACAGTTGGTCTCCTTGTGCTGCGCTTTGTGAATGGGCTGCAGTCCTCTAGGACCTGTGAAATGTCCCAGAAGGCTACGGGGGAAGGAAGGGGGCTGAACTTCTGGTTCAGTTCGCTACAGTGAACTTAGCTGGAAGTGGGAGCGAGTACCTGTCAAAACTTCCCCCCCAAAAGGTGCCAAATGTGGCAGGAGAAGGAGGCAGATAAGTGGAGTTTCCACTTTTAAGTGGAACTCCGCTTTAAGGTGACATGCTTAAACATTTTTGGGACATTTTAGAATGCATTTTCCTTAAAAAAAATGATGTATGCATTCCTCTACAAAAATGCAAGTAAAATGATTTCTTCAAGTGTTTATTTGTTGTTAACTGCTTTCCTGCTGCCCTATAGCAGAAATACTGCTACAGGGCGGCAGGGCTGTGCAAAATCACGTATATATACGTGATTTTGCATTTCCGGGTAGGGGCGAGCGCGCCATTGGCGGCCTCAGCTGTCGATCACCGGGTCCTGGCTGGTGTCCCTGCTGGCACTTGGCGATCGCCGAGTATCATTGATGAGGGAGAGACAATACAGAACAATACAGATCTCTCCCGTCAGCTCCTGCACACTGCTTTGTATGGCTCTCCATAGTACAGCAATACAAAGCAATGTGCTGACACAGTAAAGCACAGCACACAGTAAAACAGCACACAGTTAACCCTTTGATCACCCCAGATATTAACCCCTTCCTGCCCAGTGCCATTAATACAATGTCAGTGCTTTTTATTAGCACTGATCACTGTATTAGTGTCACTGGGCATGTCAGTGACAGTCAGTTCACCCTAGTGTCAGAATGCCCGCTGCACTCCCGCAATAAGTCGCTGATCGCCATTACTAGTATATATTTTTTTTAAAAATTCCAGTATCTATACCACCATTTGTAAACGCTATAGCTTTCACGTAAACCAATTAATTTACATGTATTGGAATTTTTATTTAGCAAAGACATGTAGCAGAATACATTTTGGCCTAAATTGATGACGAAATTTGATTTCTTTTTTTTTTTTTTTTGCTAGACATGTTTAATAGCAAAAAGTGAAAAATATAGTTCTTTTCTCAAAATTGTCGGTATTTTTTGTTTATTGCGCAACAAATAAAAACCGCAGAGGTGATAAAATACCACCGAAAGAAAGCTCCATTGTTGAAAAAAAAAAGGACATAAATTTCATTTGGGTGCAGCATTGCATGACCACGCAATTGTCAGTTAAAGTAACGCAGCACCGTATTGCAAAAAATGGCCTGGTCGGGAAGGGGGGGGGGGGGGGGGGTAAATCCTCTGGAGGACAAGTAGTTAAATATCAAATATGCTATCTGCAGTAAAAAAAAAAGTAAAGCTACACCATTTGCAATAATAATAGCAATAGATACATGGCGGTATAATGGGCTTTCATTTTGGGATGGGTGTCATTAAAAATGAGGTTGTGGTGCCCTCTAGTGCTCTTATGTACATATACATAAAGTATGTTAACCAATGTTTGAATCCTTGTTTCATTTTAAACACTGCAATGCAGAAGAAACACTTGGAAAGCAATCAGTGGTTATTGGCAGTTATTGGCATCAAGAGCAGTTCTTGCTAGCAAACATTTCATTTACTGTTGCACACTTCTGTGTATTGCCAGGTTTTAGAGCTTCTTTTTCCAATAAAAAGTTAGTCATTTTCTAACTGGCTGCAACATAAACTTAGGAATTCAACAAAATCTCACAAAACTGTGCCAGCAAACTTGCATTTGGAAGTGATAGACTATCAGGTTTCTGCAAGTCATTAGTGAATCCAAGGTTAGCATAGTGAATATACCACCTCAAAGGACAGGTTAAGCCATCATTAGCTGTGGCTTAGCAGATCTCACTGTTGCATTGCAAGAACCGCACACTGCATTAGGCGCTAATGACAGAGGAAGTCATTCTGCACCCATATACTAGCATTCAAATAGTGTTTGTGAGTGGTAACATTGCTGGAACAATCCTTTAACACTTCATTAGGGCATTGCACAGATTGAAGGAAACATATCCTGAGAGAATTATCAGAGCCACATATATTAAGCCTACCTCTAAAACTTTTCAGATAATATATATTGTCTGTTTGTCCCCAATGGTACTTTGAAAGGTAGGAGGAAATCTCAATAGAATTGTAATAGAATCGGAAATCAGCCAGAGGGTAACTGTAACCTAATTTTGCTAAATGGGTGCAATGGGCTCTTGGACAACAGAAACTAGAAAAAAATCAGTATAAAGTACACAGTGACTTGCACTTGTCATCAAAGACGTGACCCACACAGTGAAGTTCAGGCTAGGTCTGGTAAAACAGGAAAGTAACTGAAGGAGTCTCAGGGCTGGAAACACAGGCAAGCGGCTGAAGGAGTCTCAAGGCTGGAAACACAGGCAAGCGGCTGAAGGAGTCTCAGGGCTGGAAACATAGGCAAGTGGCTGAAGGAGTCTCAAGGCTGGAAACACAGGCAAGTGGCTGAAGGAGTCTCAAGGGCTGGAAACAAGGCAAGTGGCTAGGCAAGGCTGGAAAAGTGGCTGAAGGAGTCTCAGGGCTGGAAACACAGGCAAGTGGCTGAAGGAGTCTCAGGGCTGGAAACACAGGCAAACGGCTGAAGGAGTCTCAGGGCTGGAAACACAGGCAAACGGCTGAAGGAGTCTCAGGGCTGGAAACACAGGGAAACGGCTGCAGGAATCTTAGGGCTGGAAACACAGGCAAACGGCTGAAGGAGTCTCAGGGCTGGAAACACAGGCAAGCAGCTGGAGGGGTAGGCTATCCCAATTGAAGAGAAGTACCCTGGCAGCAGTTGGAGAAGTGCTTCTTTGTAGAAGTTGCATGCTTCTGGCTCCTGTCTGACTTCCAGCAAACCGGAACTAACAGGGAAGAACTGTACACGTGGCTACAGATCACATGCTCTGGCACTTTTGCCCAAGCACCTCATCAAATACAGTTTCACTGAACTCCCGAGGGTGGGAAACAGAAAAACGTATACTTCCTGGGCATGTCCAGACACCTAGGAAATTATTGGAACCCACACCTGCATCTAACCATGATGAGTCAAGCAGCACTCTGCTGCAGAATCCCAAACA